GATGATATGGATAATGATGTTGATAATGATCCTAATGGAAATAATCATGATGAATGAGGACGATCAGGAACCTCCTGATGATGATCATAATAGTGATGATAATCCAGATTCGAATAGTGGTGATGAACCGGATAACTCGGATTCTGATTCATCCAGAGCAGGGGATAACGGTTTGCCAAATGGGAATGTGCACGAGGCTGCTCCTTCAGGGGATAATAATGATAACTTTGATCCTGAGTTTATTCCAATAAATGGGGTTTTTCAAAATGGTTACTTATCTCACTCGAATCAGGTTGTTTCATCCTCAACTTCGGGTTCGTCTACTTATGATTCTGCTTCATCTCAGCGAGTTCAGAGTGCCGCTTCTTCTAAAACAGACCCAACAACCCCGAAGTCGTACCATAACCCGAGTTCAACAAGGTTCCTTGAAGAGAATAGGGCTGCTATTCCACAAGGTTATCCGTATGCTCCCTTCACTCAGGATCGAAGTTAACTTAATTATGCAAGGGGGTTTCGAATTTCAGCAACACTTGAGGAGAGTTTTCTTAAGGATAGCTCGGAGTCGAAGGACTTTGCTGTGCCTGCTGCTATTGGTTCTGCTGTGCGCTTTGCTGCTGTGAACGTTGCTGTTGTTCATTCTGCTGCTCCTACTGCCGCTGCAATTTATTCTACTGTTGCTTGCTCTGCTTCTGGGAATTCTGCTTCTATTAATTATGCTGATGTTAATTCTGCTACTGCTACAAATTCGGCTGCCTTTTGCTGTGCTGCTGTTGCTTTTGCCGCAATTGAAACGGTTCCAGCTCTGCTCAAAAGTCTTAATTTAAATGATCCCTCGGAGGCTGACATTGGTGGGAATGGGCTACCTCAACATCCTGTGCAGCCCACAAATTCTGGTCAGTATAGTAGGCCAAAAAAAAGGAGTCATGATGTCCCTTTCCATCGGTGTCGTTCTTATGGTCAAGACCTATTTTTTGGGTATGCAGGTTCTACTTGGGCTCAAAAAGGCGCAAGATTAGGGCCCTTAAATTGCTCAACAAGGGTGCTTTTCATTTTCCTGCTAATCACCTTAACCAGGTTATTGCTAAAAAAAATTCTGATGTTTCTAATGCAGCGCACTTGGGGTTTCTTGGCAGTACCTCACACCCCTTTGCAGGCACGTATGCTGGTTGTACACAGTCTGGAAGTAAAAGGAAGATCGAGGAGAGTAGCACAACTTCTTCTCGCAAGTGTCTAAGGCTTTGTGATGATGGGGTTGCTTCAACTCACTTGTCTCCCTCTATCTCTCACACCTTTAGTAAGGCAGCTGGCCCTTCACAGCTCCCCAAGGTTTTATGAAGATCACATCTTGGAATTGGCGAGGACTAAATGACCACAGTTCTCCGAAACTTCCTTATGTGTTTTGGTTAATACACACTTTTGTCCCTAACTTTTTGTTTCTTTCTGAAACTAAAGTCTCAATTTCGGTTGTTTCTAGCTTACTTAGTAGTTCTAATCCTTCCTCGGTTTTTGGTGTTGACTCAGATGGTAGTAGTGGGGGTTTAGCGGTTTTGGGGTTTGGTTCGGAAGATGTTTCTTGCGTTTTTTGTTGTTCAAACGTTGTATTGTGTAATATAAAAAAGCCTAATGAAATAAGTAGATGTGTGATGTTTGTGTACGGTGCTCCTGTCGTGGAATATAGACCTCAAGTTTGGGGTTTGATTTTAGATTTACTTGCTATTGCTCCTAATTGTTTGATTATTGGTGAGATTAATCAAATTTAACACGATTATGATAAGTTGGGTGGTTCTAGTGTTATCAAGGGTTGGGATCCCTTTATTGATTTTAGATTAAAGTCAAGTCTACTTTCAACTCCTTTCAAAGTCCCATCCTACACTTGGACAAACAACCGGGAGGCTCATAATCTTATTTTACAAAGGCTGTATCGCTCATATATGACCTCGGACTGGTTTTATAACTATCCCGATAGTCATTTATTGAATCAACCGATCCTTGTTTCGAATCATGCTGCTATTGTGTTTGATGACTCTTCTATCCACCGCACTTCGAATCGTCCTTATCAATTGGACAATTGGTGCCTTAACTATACACAGGTACATGGCTTCGTTCATCACACTTGGCAAAGGAATACTATTGGCTCTCCAATGTTTAACCTTTCTAAAAATTTAGAACATGTTAAGACCCTAATTCGGAAGTGGTGTCTCAACAATAAGAAGTTCTGGGGCGTGGATTGGAAAAATTTCTCGAAGGATCTAGCCACTCAAGGGGAGTCGATTCAGTCAGTTCATGATGCAGCTCAGTATATGGCTAATGTTGTTACCTCCAAGGATAGTATTTTATTTCAACTTTAGTTTTGGAGACAGCGCTGTAAGAATAACTGGATACTCAAAGTTGATTGCCTTTCCAAGATTTTGTTCTCCAAAGTCAAAAGTCGCCAGAAGAAGAATGAGATTACTTCCTTACTTGATGACCAAGGGGTTTTTCAGCATGGTCAAGTGGACGTTCAACGTCTTGTTGTTACATCTCTTAAACAGACCTTTAAGACTGATGACATGCCTCCTTATGATCCGGAAATAGACATTGTCCTGCGTGAATTAGATCTTCCAAAGTTCACTTCGTCACAGCTCAATAATTTGGAAAGAACTTTCTCGGCCCAGGAAATTAAGGAAGGCATGTTTTCTTTAGGGAACGGGAAAGTCTCCTAGCCCAGATGGGATCACAGCTGAGTTTTTCAAAGTGCATTGGGATGTGGTTGGTGACTCGGTTATCAATGGCATTCAAAGTTTTTTTCATACAGGGTTCCTTCTGAAAGAGTGGAATCAATCTCTCCTTGTTATGATTCCTAAGATTGGCACACCAATGGAGATTAAACATTTGCGACCAATTAGCCTCGGTAACACGATCTACAAGTGCGCTTCCAAATGCTTAGTAGCCAGATTGCGTCAATACCTCCCTCTTCTTATCTCAGATTCTCAACATGCCTTTGTTCATGACAGATAACATTATGCTGAGTCATGAATTAATGGAGAAAATTAACATTTCTTAATCTGGTTCTAACTGGTTAGCTGCGGTCAAGTTGGAAATGAGAAAAGCTTATGATCGAGTTCATTGGAGCTTCCTTTTACAGGTACTGAAAGCGTACAGAATTCCGCCTCTTTGGTTGCAAATGATCCAACAATGTTTATCCACGGTCTCGTACAAGTCCCTCATCAATGGTACGACGTCGTCCCCCTTCAAACCGCAGTGTGGCCTGCGCTAGGGTGACCCTCTTTCTCCGTACCTCTTCCTGTTTTGCATGGATGTATTCTCGAGGATGTTTCACCTTGGACAGGATTTGAAGTTATTTCAGGCAATTAAGTTATCTAGGATGAGTCCTTCTATCACGCATTTATTCTTTGCGGATGACGCTATCATCTTTTTCCGGGCATCTTCTGCGTCTTGTACAAATGTTATGCGGATTATTCAATGGTTTACTAAGATCTCTGGGGAGGAGCTAAATCTGGCGAAATCCTTGATTAAGTTTAGTCCGAATATTGGAACCTCCACTTAGGCTGCTTTCAAATATATTTTTCAGATGAAGCAAGTTCAGGTTTTCGATCATCACTTGGGGGCCCCAATCGATTTTTTTGGAAAAAAAAAGGGACCACTTCCAGTTCATCATTGACAAGATTGTGGATAGGATCACGTGTTTAAATATTATACGGCTTTCTCAATCGCAAAAGTTAATTTTTATTAACTCAATCCTTGTAGCTATGGCTTCTCATGTTCTTGCTTGCTATGAGTTACCGGTCTCTATTACGGGAAAAATTGATTCCTTAATCCTGCGCTTTTTCTGGGCGAACTCGAATTCTAAAGGTATGCATTGGGTTAATAAAGATACCATGCATCTTCCTCGTGGCTTGGGGGGTTTGGGCATTCGCTGCTTGTCCTCCTTAAATAAGGCATTGCTTATGAAACAGGTTTGGAGACTCGTTTCCAACCCCCAATTGTTAGTTTCTCAAGTTTTTAAAGCCCGTACGACCTTTCACTCCAACAATGCTCATAGTCGGCAGTCTGTTACTGGTCGGCTTTCGTATGGCCTTCGAGGTTACTAAAGGCAGATGCTCTGTTAAAACAGGGATGTAACTGGAAAATTGGTAATGGTCATTCTACTCTTGCTGATTCGGCTAATTGGGTAAATGGGTGCATCCCTGAGTTCAAGCCAGGCATTCTGTTACCGAATTCTGCAGATCATACTGTCAGTTTTTTCATCCATCCTCACACATTGGGATGGGATACGGCTAAAGTTGTGGACTGGTTTGTTCCTACAAATGCTTCCTCAATCCTTGCATTGGAGGAATCTGATACATCACAGTAAGACTTTCGCTATTGGGCAAGTACTCCCTCGGGAAAGTACTCAGTGAAAACAAGGTATGCAATGCTTCAACAACAACTTGCTCATGCCTCCACACATTCTACTACTGCCCCCTTCTGGAAAGTTCTTTGGACTCTCCACTTACAACCCAAGTGGAAGCTGTTTTTATGGAAGCTACTGCATTAGGCACTTGCAGTTAAGGTGGAACTCCATCATAGGAGTGTTCCAATTCAAGATGTGTTATGTGACCTCTGTCGTTTAGAACCTGAGGATTTACAGCACCTCTTTAGGAAGTGCCTGTGTGCACGGTCAGTTTGGAGGGGTGGATGCCTTGGTATCCACTCAGAATTTAATGGAGACCTTTCCCTTTCGGATTGGATCTAAGATTATATCCGACTTTTTATTAGTCAGGATGGGCCGTCTAGTACTCGCTTAGCTACCTTCGTCGGTACGCTATGGAGTTTGTGGTTATGTCGGAATTCTCGAATCTTCAGAGATTCTAATGCATCTCGACCGTTTGATTCGTAGTTCGCGGAGGTTATGGATTCTCATTCAATATTTGTTAACTCCGGCGCCAATGAATTCCCCCCTAATATTGAGGTAGCCGTTGCACCTGCTTCTCCTCCGCCTTGTTTCTACGTAGCTCAACTGGGACGGTGTAACCATGGGAGAGCTTTACTTTCTATGCAAATAGATGGGTCTTGGTTCAAAGACTCTCAACAAGCAGAGATGGGTTAGTGCTTGGACAATGATTCTTTGTAAAGAAAAAAATAAAAAAAAAATGAAAATTGTATTCAACGTGTTTGGAAGTCGTGTAGTTTGTACATTATCACCACTCACTTCTAAAATTACCATTTTACCCGTCTACTGTTCAACTAGATTCGCATAGCTAAGGCACAAAATACAGGATCTTCCTCCTGAAAACCATCAGCAATTCAGCAACATTCATTTCTTCTCTCTCTTCCTCAAATACCAACCACAATTTAATTCACAAATTTCAACGTTAAACTCAAACATTTTAACTTCATCATCTAATCGGTTTAAAAAAAAAGAATCAGATCAAAATATCAAATTCCTTGTTTTTGGATAAAAATGGCGAATTGCAGTGAGATGTCTGCATTTACATTCTCAGACTTCCCAGAAGATGTGCAACTTTGCATCTTATCATTCTTAACACCAACTGAAATCTCCGCCTTTGCCTGCACCTCGAAACGTTTCATATCGCTGTTTCTAAACGGCGGCGTTTGGTACGCCATGTGTGGCCGAAGGTGGGGTTCGAAGACCCAGATCAGAAAATGGGGCGACGGAAAAATCGGGTTCAAACTCCTCTACAAGACGTTGTCGGAGTACGAGAATCTTGTCGGATTTTGGCGGAGAAGCGGCGGAATTGCCGGCGGAGGAATCTTCGGCGACGCCCCTCTTGTGTTCTTCGAGTGGGGTGAATCCTGTGTAACAGGGTCTAGGTTAACACCTTCCAAAGATGGTTCTTACAATGTCATCAAGTCGCCCTTCATTCGCTTGAGTTTATCTGCTGATGGGCAGCCCTTGAATTACCTAATAAATTATACCCAATACAATGAGAAGGAATTGGGTTCGTGTTCGAGTTCGAGTTCGGGGATGGATTTGATTCAAGTGAATGTTAATTTTATGGGGAAAGGTCATGTGGTGTTAGAGGAAAGTAATTGGAATTGTGGGAATTCAGTGGGTTCTCCAAATGGTAATGGTAATGGGAATAAGAATTTTGACAATGTTATAGTAGGGAGTCCAGAGGTGGAGATTGGGTCCCCGCCGGACCGGATGATGTCGGAGATGTATCAGTATTTTGCTAATAGGACGAGTCCTGGGGCGGGCGGGGAGCGGGCTTGGAGGCGGCAGAGGAGGAGGGAGAAAGAGAGGCAAGGGAGGAGGAAGTGGGAGCCTGAACATCTTGTTAAGATAGTTAATTGCTCCCCTTCTCCTTCGCGCCCTTTGCAGGGCCTTTGGAAGGTTTGTATGTTGATTTATTTCTGTAGTTTTGTTTTGCTTTGTTACATCTTATGATGTTTCATGTTGTTCCATTTTCTGTTCAATTTGATTTTTTTTTCCTATGATTATAAATTTATTATATGATGCTGAGGGTGCATTGAGACTGGGAACATTGTTGATCAATTACTATATTAGAATTGATAAGTTAAGCATTTCAGTTACTATGATGGATAGTTTTTGGTAATACAAGTAGTTTAGTTTTCAGGTTTTCTGTCGAATTACAAGTTTCAAGTGATATTTAGTATTCAGCATCTTTTTCAAAGGTTATAACTTATAAGTTTGATTTCTGATTCTTATTTTTGGTTGCCGCCTACTCTTTTAAAGTTTAAATGCTGGACGTTTTAACCATGACTTACAGCTTCATTTCTCTGTGTTTTTCCTGTCGTTTGTTCTGATATTGAAGAAAATTCATGGTGAAGTTTAGGTTACCTCATTGTTGCTCCTTTGTTAGTTAAGGTGTTACTTGATGAGTTAATATGCCTTTCATTCTAAAAGGTTTACTGCTTTTTCCCTTCCCCATCTTTGAAGTATACTTCCCTTGGCCCAGTAAGTATTTGTGGTTATTTCTCTTTTGACTTGATGTTGTACTGTTTAAGTTATTAGTAACTAAAAGACTTAAGTCTCGACAAAATTTTATTATAATGGCATGGAATATAATATTGATAGGAAATCTTGTTTAAAACCAGTTCATGTATAGCAAGTCTTTGAAAATATGTACTTCTATAAGCCTATATAGAGCTTTTTAAAAGGACTACTATGTATTTTGTAATATCGTTTCATCAGTTTAAACATGGCCTAAATCTCTGTTTTAAGTGACGTTTTAAAGAGATTGTTCCAGGAGGTGGCTACTCGTTTGTAATTTTAGTTGGATAATATGCACTTTCCCTTCTATTCGGTAACATATAAGGTAGGACTGCCCTTTATCAGATTACAAAAGATGAAAAAACCCTTTAATAAAATTTAAAAAGTGGGTAAATTGTAGAGTAAAAACTGGGAAACAGTGGCATTAAGGCTTAGAAGAAAGGTGGCATCTCATCAGCCAAGATCTTGTCAGTGCCACCACCAATATTACTTTGTACTCCGTATTAGATTATTCTTGGTCATTCTTTCAATACTCAATCACGTTGAATTCTGCTGAATTAGCTAGAACCGTAGTGTTTTGGAGTAATATGTTTGTCAATGGATGAAGTTACTGATGAAGATAACCTCGAGAATGATGATGGCAAAACTCATATCTTATTGGATCTCAGTGGTTTTTGTGGGTTTGATTTAATTGTTTGTAATACTCCGCATATTATTTAGTAGTTTTTGGATTTTGCTCTCTTTATAGAAGTTGTGATGATTTATGCATTGTCTGTGCATAAAAATTGAATTTAATTCAGAAATTGAACTTGAAAATTACAGTAGATTTTTGTGAATTTGCTATAACTGCTATTGTTCTAAAAAAAAACTCAGCCTTTGTTTATGAAAATACTGTTCATTAATATACTGTTATTGTTGAATTAGCTAGTAAATGTGTATCATGAATGTTATTAGCCTTTATTGTTGAATACTCTGTATGAAGTCATCGCTATAGAAAAGTCGGATTTTGTTGTTGATATACTGTTCTTGTTTCTTCTCTCTTCTACTGCAAGTTCAATTCATCTCATTTGTACTAAGCAGCTCCTTCTCCAATTGGCAAAAATAAAAATGCCAGATCCTTCTCTAACTGTCCTGTCCAGCGCACACGGCTATAGTTCCCACGATCACGAGGATGGGAACTGGGAAGAGGGGATTTCAAGGAGCAGAATGTTTACAATCAAGGGAAGTGCATTTAACTTTTCAGAGCCCATATCATATTATACTTCCCCATTAATATTTTATAGGATGGAAGATCCATTTTACCCCCAGTATAGGGCAGGGTGCCCTTTGGTCCCTTTTGCATAGGAGTGAAAGTATACTTAAAAAAAGCGAGGGATCTGAGTTTCATGGCGGAAGTAGAAGTACACGTAAATTAAGTATTTTCTTTGCTACAACAGGAACTAAGAAAATAAGGGTAGAATTTTATGGAAAAAACTAAAACATAAAAACTAATGATATATAGTTTTGTTTCGGAACAGAGTAGTAGTTGTTAAAAAAAAAAGAAATTTTATTTACAATACTGTGCAAAAATGTTCAGTTTGGTTGATGGCTTAAAATTCCTCCGTTTCAGGCAATTGGGAAAAAGGACAAAGCTTTTTTTTTTTTTTTTTTTTTTGGGTAGGGGGAGGGGGGGGGGTGGGGTGGGGTGGGGTGGGGGCGGGGATTGAAAGAAAAATTAAGATACATTTTGTAGAATATGACTTCTGTTCTATAAATTTTGGAAACAACAATTGAGCACCCCCTCTCTGTTTTCTAATAGTAATGTTTTTCTTTTTCCTAATATGCGGCTTCCCCTAATTCTCATTACTTTTAATTTATGTGAATTTGCATTGCTTATTCAATTTCATAGAAGGAAGCAAACTTAGTTTTTACGCTTGGTGATAGAGTGCATGATATAGTTTGACCACCATAACTTGTGTTGTCTACGAATTTGCCTGCATACATGTATGAATTTTGCTGACTTGTTGAGATAATGGTGGGCTTCACAAATGATTTGTCCTCACCTTTTTGATCAGAATGGAAAGAGGAAATGTGATTATTTCTCCACGAATTTTATTGTAAGAAACCAAGGGAAGATTTGTGAAATCTCTGTGGAACTGGAATGCATTATCTGTGCTTTTTATGACAGCTGGATTGCTCCTTGCTTGCATTACTCTTTTTGCATTGCCAAATAAGTACAAGATAAAGTTATTGTGTCAGTATATTCCTTTTCTAAAAGAAACCAAGGGAAATATTGAGAAATCTTTTCTACAGAACTGGAATGCATTTTTTGTCCTTTAAAAGACAGCTTGGAATGCTCCTTGCTCGAACACATATATGTGTGTCTCTGCTTCTGCATCAAATTGAGATGATAAATTGTAAGAAAATGGTATTCAGAAGCATCATCTGTAAGCTTTTGTGTAGTGTTTGCCCGTTTTGGCTTTCAGTATTATATTAATTGTGAAAATGATTTTATGAACCTTCATCTGCCGAACATGTCTCTGAAGTGATTTATGTTGCAAATCCATTTTGACATGTTGCTTTTATATCGAATTTTATTTTTGCATTGTGAGCTTTGGCATTTCAGATAAAGCTGTGATATTAATTTTTTTTTTTTTTCGTATTCCGGTGTGTAAAGGAAGGCGAAACAAAAATGTTATTTGTTTCTTTGCTTTGATTTTCTTTATCCTGTTTAAATCTTTTGGATGCCTTAAAGAGCTTCTTAGTTGACATTATCCCTGATGCTGCAGGGTATAAACGATGACATGAGTCTTGATTTTTATCTTGTGGCATACGATGACATTGGAGGTGTCGCCTGTCGAAGAGTTGGGGACTCTTTGCAACCCCTCTCTGGTTATGCACCTGTATTTTGGACTTCAAATGCAACATTTATTGAATCCCCACTATCTCACGAAGAAGATTATGTATACAATACCCGGATGCATCTTCGGCCTACAGCTGAAGTAGAAGATGATATTTATGAGTATTCGCCTTCACGTGTTATGTACATCAACTCAAGTTACAACCTTATTATTCCCAATTCTACAGGGAGTTCAACAAATCCTCGTCATGTTGAAGGAAGGATTTGGCAATATGTTGATGGGTCATTTGGGTTTGGATTTCTTCGTAACAATTTTATCGTGGACATGAAGCATATTGCCCAAGATGACTATCTTTTGGATGCTGCTGAAGTTTATTGTGGCTGATCCATTCTTTGGATCCATTTATGTGCAGAGTTCAGAGACAACTCTAATGTTTTAGATATCGCAGCTTGTGATTCTAGATGTTTTAATTCATTCTTTCTTTTTTCTTTTAGTAACTTGTAAGTGACTAGGCCCATATTTGGCGTGGGGCAACCGATGAACCGAGGTACCTACCCTAGGCCCTAAATCACTTGTAGTGTTGTAACATATTCTTGTACGATATCCCAGTGGTTATTTTCTAGTTGGGCTAGTTCTATTTAACCCTAACCATTCTTTCTTTTAATTTTGTGCATTTACTGGATTATACTGTAATATTCAATGATCCTCAAACCCCGCAATTTGTAATAATTTTTCAAATTTTAATAAAGTTACATGACAGAATTTAGATCATATTGATGCATATACATGAGCAAATAAGTTTGTTTTTACAAAGTAATCCATCTATAAATGTTTATTAAAATCAGATTTACACTAATTTAGTGTAAATCTGCTTCTTAAAGGAAACAAATATTGTTTCCTTTTTTACTCACACGTGCGCGTTAGTTTTTTCAATTAACAAAAAGCTTAATTTTCTCTTTCTTCTTCATTATTCAGTAAACTACTTTCTCTCTCTTGTTTCTTCCTCAATTCGCCATTTTCTCTCTCTTCGAACATCATTTTCGCTCTCTTCAATCTCTCTTCTACAATCGATTGTTGCTTTATGCGTTTGAATTTCGAAGTTTATTTGCTGAATTCAGGTTCGTTTACTTTTTTTTTTTTTTGCGATTTTTGTTAGTTTTAAGTTGTTTTGAATCTTCGATTTTTAGGTTTTTTTATTTTGTTTTTGTTTTCAATTATCGTAGTGTTTTATTCTGCAATGGTTAAGAAGAAGATTACAAAGAAGTCTTCAGATGTTGAAAAAGGAGTGTTTACTTAAATTTTCATCACTTTTTCAAAATTTTCAATTGAATTTTCGCTAATATATGTTGAATTAGTAGTGCATGTTATGTTTGTAGTTTTACTTGATTTTTCATGTAGATTCTGAGTATTGAATTTGAATCTTGAAGTTAATATGTTTAATATTGCTTTATTTTTTTGTTCATTGTTTATAATTTGTTAAAATTTTGTTATATATGTGTTGTTGTGTTGTTGTATGTTATACCTATTTTTCATGTTTATTTTCAGAATTTTTTTTATCATTGCTTATTATTCTTTTAATTTTGCATGTTAGGTTTTTAGCAGAGAATGCTAATTAAACTGATTTTAGGTTTAGGTTTTATGTTTTGGTTTGAGTATGAGTATAATAGGCATATGTGCATTGTGTTTGTGCATCTGTGTTTGATTAACATGCATATGTGCATTGCTCATTTTGTTTTAAAGGGTCACTTTATGTTGTTAAAAGGGTCACTTTATGCATATAAAATGGTCACTTTTTGCTGTTAAAAGGATCACTTTGTGCTGTTAAAAGGGTGACTTTATGCATTTAAAAGGGTCATTTATCCACATTATTCTAAATATTTCCATGAGTAATTTCTGAATTTATAATTTTTTTTTTATTTCTCTATAATAATTAGATACAGGGGTTCAATAGGTGGTTATCGTTATAAAATGCCTACAAAAGGAAAATGAAAGCCTAAAGAGCCTGCTAAGGCTAAAGCAGTACCAAAAAAGACCCATATAGTTCCTGAGAAGAGCAAAGCAGTACCTAAAAAGGCTGTGACAATTCCTGAGAAGGGCTTAATTATTTCTAAGAATGACTAACCAGAGTCTGAGAAGGCCAAAATAGTTCCTAAGAAGGCCAAAATTGTACCTAAGAAAGCTAAAACAGTGGAAGATTCTGATTATGAAATGCTTTCTGATTCTGTTTCTGAATCTTTTGTGTAAGCATACATGAGTGTATTTTTTTTTTCATTTTTTAATTATATTTTGTTTTTAGTTTATATTGTTTCAGTTACATTTTTTTTATTATTTAGGGAGCGAAGAAGCTTGACTGCAAGGTGTAGACCCTATTCATTGGAAATTTTGTTGCAGAGCTTTAGTCCTGAGCAAAAACAGGTTGTTGAAGAAATTGGTTTTGGAGGTTTATTACATCTGAAATTGAAAACTCTTTATCGTCAAATGCTACCTTGGCTTGTTGAAAATTTCAATGGTGGTAGCTGCATATTTACCATCGCTACTGGTAAAGAATTTGTTGTTACTAGAAATGATATATGCGATGTGTTTTGCTTGCCTTTGAGTGATATTTGCGTTCCCGAACTTAATAAAAATTGTGAAGATGAAAGTGTAGATAAACGTATCATTCAGGCATGGAGATCTGATTATGGTCTTTCTGGTAAGCAACCTCTTCATTTGTCAAAATTGGAGTCTCAGATGGTTGATTTGGTTGATGGAGGGGAAGAATTTAAGAGGTGTTTTGTTCTTCAAGCTATGTCTAGCTTTTTAGCTCCTTATACTAATAGGACTGTTTCATTGAATTTGCTGAAAGCTGTTGAAAAAGTTGATGAAATTAAAACTTTCGATTGGTGTTCATATGTTTTGAAAAAGTTAAAGAAGGTTGTTCAGAAGTATAAGGATGATGAAACTTCTCAAAATGTTAGTGGTTGTTTGCTGGCTTTGCAAATTATGTATTTTCATCGTCTAAATTTTCAAGGTGAAAAGGAAAGTAGTACTCTTCCATTGATTCAACATTGGACGGATGTAAAGATAAGAAGCGGATTAAGTTAGAGATCAAAGCTGGTGGTTATGGGCAGGGACCGTTGGATACTTTTACATATCCTGTGTCACAGCTTAATTTTAGGGAAACTGTTTTTAAACCAGCTCCTACTTTGGGTTATGATAACGGTGCTTCTACAAGTGGTACCACTGGCCACATTGTTGCATTTGAGCTTCCATAAGGTATTATGACTGATGAAGAAATTAAAGAAATTTCAACTGATGTAAGTGTTCTGTTTTCTTATATGTTTAGTTATTATTGCTTTATGGGACAAAAGTTACCCTTTTGTGTACAAAAGTTACCCTTTATTTGCACCAAAGTTACCCTTTATATGCATTAAGTTATCCAAAATATTAAGTTAAAAGGGTTACTTTATGCATATAAAAGGGTAACTTCATGCATTTAAAAGGGTCACTTTAAGCATATATTTTGAATTTTTACTTATTTTATTATTTTTATTTGTAACATTTATTTATTTTTCTTTGTTCATATGTTTGTAGGTTGTTCATGAAACATTTCTTTTGTTTAAAAGAAATATGGATGTTTTATTATTTGTCCAGTCAACTGGTTTTCAAACCTTGAATGATCTGATTACTTCTCGCAGAAGTGTTTTATTATCTTCTGATGATTATGTTTCAGTTTCTCAAACTGAACAGCTACTCTCTGATCCTCATTATCTGAAGATTTTAGATGGTTTAATTGATGAGTGTAATAAAATGAAGTTTGTACATGATTTGTTTTGCGGTTTTTATGAACCTACAAAAGGTAATAAAGATGTTGTTCCTGAAAAAGAACCTGCACAAGGTTTCAATGAAGATATTCCTAAGGATGATGACAATGGTCATGGAAAAATAGTTAATGAAGGTCTTAATGGTTCTGGACCTTCTGCTATCATTCCTGGTCCTATTGAAAATATTCCTGTTGGGCATATTGATCAAAATGAACCTACTCGACGTATCATCAAAGCAAATAAATCTCTATGCTCTTTGGGGACTGTGGACCAGTAGGTGTGCAGGTGCCTTTTGTAACTCTGTTTATGAAAGGCAATGCTCGGATTTTCAGGAATTTGCCTCAGTTACATTTGGAAATTCTCGGTTATTGTTTGCTGAAGGATGTTTTAATGAATAGGAAGTTAAGTGTCATTTTTTATGATAATTATTTTTTTATCTGTTTTTTTTCTTATATTTTTTTTAATGCTGATCTTATTTTTTATTGTTTCAATGAGAGCCTTGTTACTTTTGGAATGAACTTTTAATTCCAAGAGAAGACATGGTGTCCCTTGTTGCTCCACTCAGGATTCGATGGTGCATTATTGATTGCTACTGTCTGTATTAGAATGAGAAAGCATGTTTTGAGGCTACTGGTCCTCGAAAATTCTTCTTTTATGTTAGGTAGAGTATAAGTTATTTCATTCTTTTTTTTTTATAATATTTTAACACATTTACTTTATATATATATATATATATATATATATATATATATATATATATATATATATATATATATATATATATATATATATATTACTACAAGAAAAAGGCAAATTAGCGACGGCCAAAGTAGTCGCAAATCTGTCGCAAAAATGGATTTGCAACAGATTTGCGACTACTTTGGTTAGTCGCTAAACACCTCGTCGCAAATCTATTTTTGCGACTAATTTTTGGACAGTCACAAATTTAGCAACGGATTTGCAACTACCATTTAGTGACTAACTTCAAAATTTTAGCAACTAAATCACTGTCCGTTGTAAAATATTTGCGACGAATTAGCGACTACGGAGACCAATGTTTTGTGACGGATTAGCGACTACTTAACCAAAATTTTGCGACTGCGAGACTAAACTTTTGCGACGACAGAGACTAATTATTTTGCGACGAATTTGCGATTACAAGACTAATTTTTTTGCGACGGATTATACTACTGAGACCAATTATTTTGCAACTAAGCACTCATTCTCTAAAACAAATATGAAGTCGCAAAAATCTAGCGATTGACTATCAATATTTGGAGACCATGATTTAGCGAGGACTAATATCTGTCACAAAAAAAAAATGTCAAATTTATTCAAATATCCAAACCATATTAATAAATCAAAATTATCATCAGTTTTGTATCAATGTATTAAAAAACAACATTCTCAACCATATGACTAATTTTTTTTCAAAATCACCTCATATAAAAGAAGCTACTTCCAATAAAAACTAATAACGATATACAAATATGCCTCCAAATATTAAAGATTAGCTGTTCACAAAATTATCACCAAGAAATTAAAAATCACTTAGTTGAATCATGAGAGCTGGTGAAAGTAGACGTAGGAGGCTTAGTAAGACAGTAATGTTGGACAAGGTTGTAATATCCTTCGATGTTTTGTGCATAGCCATTTTTTTCTTCTTCGGTGTTGCTTTTTCTTATCTCATGATTTTCAGCAATTTCCTTGGCCTATTTTAAACTTTCTGCCGCCATTTTTTGGCTTTCTTCAAACTCAGGTCTTCAAGTATATGTATGCTGCACATGATTATCCAAGTTGAAACCATATGCATTAGAATTTACAAAACACAATTGTCAAAATTTGACAACACGGAGACATT